ATTACGCCTATATATAAAAAATAGCCAAAAAGTGGATAGGTTTCTACTAATACTTGTAGCTTTTTTCTTGCGGCACGTGAATTTTGAGGTTATTTTGTCAAATTTGTACAAAACTACTTATTTACTTTTAAAATGTCAGTTCAATCAGGTAAATTGATATTGAAAATTCTAACCGAGCAATTTGGGGAAACTATAGCAGCTGTAGGCTACGATTTATTCAGACATGGATCCAGACCTGTTGCTCATATTCACTCGACTACAAAACTGCCTATATCAGAAATAAAACACTCATTATGCATCTTAGCCAAATATAAACTGATTACCTTTACATCATCAGCACACCCAGACTTTGCTGAGTACGAACTACTGAATGAAAGAGTCTTTTACATAGTCCGGTACCCAAAATACATATGCCGGATAAAAGACAAGTACGGAGACGAAGCTGAGGTGTTGCTCGATGAGTTGCTGAGACTAGGCTCTTGCACGGCTTCAGAACTCATTGTAAGATGTCTTGCAAGGGTTAAGGAACAATACCCGAGCAATCCGTGTGATTTAGTATCTTTACGAGACAAATTTGTTGATATGGTACATGGTAACTATCTTTGCCGTTGTCCGGTTCCAATTACAGAATCATCGGTGCCTTCACTCTTTCTTGATGAAGCCCACATGTTTGTAATGCCCGATATAGACTTGCGAGAGCTGTCAAAAATGCAGAATGGCAGTGAAAGCAAACCAGGTGATGAGAACGTTTATTGGATCTGTAATTTTTCTAAATTTCATCAAGACATGCGTGATGAATTGATGATTAGTGCTATGACACGAAGAATAGATGAATGTGCAGGCGAAGTTATGAAATGTTTATTGCAACAAATGTATGTACGTACCGATGCTTGGGAACAACAATCAAACGCTATACCATTCGTAGAATTGAAACAAACTTGTGCTGAAACTTCTGAGGATAAATATCCGAATATAATTCCGTTTTTGGATCAATATTTAAAAATTATTGTAGAAGATTCCTCACAATTTTTGAAAAAGATAGGGGATGCCAGCGGTGGACAGTATGTTATCAACGTAGCACACGCTATGGAGCAATTGGTTTGGTGTTGTTTAGAAAACTACATCGTCCAACGGTTTTCTTCTAAATCCGCAAGAATATTCCGCGTTGTACGAACACATAAATTCATCGAGCAAGAACTCATACAAAAACGTGCTATGATTCCTGACAAAGAAGCCAAACAATTAACATACGAACTCCTTGAAAATCATTTCATTAAATTACGCGTTATAAATAAAGGAAGCCAACAAGGATCCATAAAAAACTTTTTTTTATTCACCGTCGACCTAATGGAATCAGTATATGTGTTATTAGATATGACTGAGAAGGCTTTGCTAAATGTTATGACTAGACGACAACTGAGCATGCAAGAAAACATAAGATTGTTACAGAAACAGCAGCGTGTTGAAAGTTTAGTAAACACAATGAAAATTAGAGGAGACCCTGAAGAACATATAAAAGATATCGAAGATACACTTACCCCCGCAGACCACGAAACAATTGCTAAGGCCAAAAGAGAAATGGACATGTTGGGAATATCTGAAATTAAATTAGATGAGACTTTATTTCTACTCAAAATGTATTTATTCTATTCGAAGAAACCAGACACAGTAGGCAAATGCAATTGTTGTAATTATCGTCCATAGAAAGATTATTAACAAATAATAATATAAATTTGATAATATTTTTACAACAGACGTTAATTTCAATTGCAAATGTTGTAATCATCTTTCATAGATTATTATTATTATTATTATTATTATTATATTATACAAATATCGATAGAAATTCTATAATAAATTATGTTTATTTTTTACTTACTATGTACAGTCGCTAAATGATAAATTGTAAACACAGATATTGTTAAGAGTTTGACAAATTACACATATAGAATATATTATGAATACATGTAAATACAAAGGACATACACTAGAATTATATATATAATTTATGTTAGAAATATAAATAAACTTAATGTTATAGTTGATCTTAAATGTTTAATATAAGGTATGACTTGATTCAAAATGTAAAATGTATGGTGAAATTTATTTGCTTGAATTTTCAAATATGTATATATATATATATATATATATATATATATACGTGGTCTGTTCAAAAAGTACCCGGAATTACTAATAATTAAATTTCGCGAGCCTGGAGTGTCTGATTGTCAAAATTTTTTTTTTATTGTGTTGGTATACATGCCCCTAAAGTATGATGAAATTTTCAGCTGTATTCACTGTTTACTTTGTCTGTGGTGGTCGCTAAGTTCGACGTGTTTTTCTGAGCTCGGCGATTTTTACAATGGAAGAATTGAAAAGTCAAAGAATTTGTATTAAATTTTGCGTAAAAAATGAAATAAAGTGTTGCAAAGTGCAAAAATTCACCAGATATGGCTCCGTGTGACTTTTTCCTATTCCCAAAGTTGAAGAGACCCATGAAAGGACGGCGGTTTTCCTCGATTGAAGAAAATCGCTGAGAGTGCTCAAGGACATATCAAAAAGTGAATATCAAGGGTGCTTCGAAAATTGGAAAAAACGCTGGCATAAGTGTATTATATCTGGGGGGGACTACTTTGAAGGGGACCACATTAATGTAGACGAATAAATAAATATTTTTTGAAAAAACGAAAATTCCGAATACTTTTTGAACAGACCACAAATTGAGTGAATGGAATACTAAATTAACTCTGAAATATGAACAAACCACACTCTAGCTTTGCACTATTTATTAAGAATTTTAAACTTTAAAAACATTTCGAGACTCAGTTTGTCTCATCATCAGTCTAATAAATTTAACTTAAATCACCAAAATATAATTCAGAACTTTTACCCTAATGATGAGACAAACTCAGACTCAAAACGCTTGTATAATTTAAAATTCTTAATAAGTAGTTCAAAATAATGTTAACAGTTAATTTTTCAAATTTATATATATTATATTAGAGTTATTAAATATCGCGCTTTACTTTTATATTTAAGTAGTATTGCAAATTTAATTATGTAATCTACTTTATCTATTTACTTAAATTATGGCATAAAAGTTATATAAATACCTTGTCATTAACTTAATTTATTCTATGATTACTTAATAATTTTATATGTACATTAAAATTTAATGCAATTTATATTAGATATAAAAACAACAAATATATTAATAATTTATTTCATGTTAAAGAATATTATGAATACGAAATATGATTTAAATATCAGATTTACTTCATTAATAAAATTATTTACTGAAGTCATTTTAATTACTTTTGTATATTTTAAATCTTTTACCAACCAGACCTTGACATTTTAGAATTGTCTGTTTTTTTACAGTTATTATACATAAAATCATTTGACACGTATTTCAGGATTTTGCTGAAAAAAATTTTTTGACGAAAATATTTACGATTGAAATATTGATTTTTTGCTCAATTTCTATGAACATCATCTGCGGTAAACTAATTATCTCTAGTTGTGCTAATAGGATCATTATTATTATTTTTTAATACACTCATATTGAAGTGAACTTTGTGATGATTAAAAAAAACATTGTTTTTGCAATTTTCTTAAAAAAAAAACAACCCTTAAATATTTACAAAGGTTTTAATTAGCCTTACCCCAACTCAAATCGATTGAAAAATAAACATATTTTTTCTTTTTATCTCTGCTACAAAATTATTTTTACAATTTATTGGATACTTCGTTACATTGAAAGATATTAAATATTTTTAGGATCAGTATTATTATTTTTTTAATACACTCGTATTGAAGTGAACTTTGTGATGATTTAAAAAAAACTGCAATTTTCTAAAAACTAACAACTCTTAAATATTTACAAAGGTTTTACTTACCTTTACCCCAACTCAAATCGATTGAAAAATAAACATATTTTTTCTTTTTTTCTCTGCTACGAAATTCTTTTTACAATTTGTTGGAGACTTTGTTACATTGAAAGATATTAAATATTTTAAACCCCGCTCTCCCCTAATATATATTTTTTTGACTGTATATTCATTTTTCGCCAATAGTTACGTAAAAAAAATTTTTTCGGCTTAATTCTGCAATACGTGTCAAATGGTAAAAAAATTTCAGACAATTCTAAAATGTGACATTTTGAAACCAATTCTACAGCATAACAGAAAAATGTTATGGCAAGGCCATGTTATGAAGAACTTTCCATACAAAGTATTGATAAACGCCATGTGGTTAGTGTGTAATCAGGAGTATTTTTCAGGTTGTCAGATAGAAAACTTAAGCTAGAAACCGCACAAATAAAAAAAATATATTAGATAACAGGGTCTTTTTGACCCAGCCTCATAATATACGAGTGACGTTGGAGTTTGCGTGTGAAACGCCTTAATGCACAGCAAATACATGACATTTTGACAGTATTCAGTATGATGATAATGTATGGAAGTTGGAGCGTAATATGGCCTTGCCATAACATTTTTTAGTTATGCGGCAGAATCGGTTCCTTTATTTTACACAAAATCCGTGCGATTTGTGAAAGAATGACTCTTATATAAGGGGTTTAGGACATAGAAAAAAATGTATAGAAAATTATGAGAACGACAGAAGTTATAAGATTTTGATCAACATGCAGAAGAATTACTAGATTGGAGATTATTACGATTTTGTAATTTGACCCCCAATTTTGACTTTAGATTCATAAGTACATTGGGAAAACATACGTCAAACACCCAATATAGACAACTTTTTTTTCATTTTGTGCACCCTTGTAATAATAAATCAACGAGAAATGTAATTCAATTACCTTGGTCCATTATTACCAAGTATGATCTGGTGTTCTAGTATAGACCTTACTTCATACAAGTACCTACGTGCAGACAATAAAATCAATCAAGAGCTTGTCATTTATTTTCGTCCCAATAAATAAGTCTGTCGATGATGTCATGTTATTAGTTAATAAAATTATATTATATTTGTTCTTATTATTTGCAAGTGTGTACGTCGACGTTTCGAACGCAGGTTTTGCATTCGACAAAACAGCACCAGTGAAATTTGCATTCGCATCGCTCCCGGACAGAAATCTTCCGGGTGTTGTAGCCGCGGCCGCAGCAGAGCAACTTGCAGCCGTCCAGGCCGTCCGAAGTCCTGGATGAAAGAAATATGTGGATTATTGGTGAGAAATTTTTCTTTTTTATTATACTGCATTTTACTCTCAATCAGTTCAAATGAATCTGCCTCGCTCGTGCGAAGGTAGAAAACATTTGAACTGAATATGAGTCAAATTCATTAGCAAATTTTGGGTTATTTTTAACTTCCCGTAGGGTAAGTTATAGTAATTGAAAATGAAAATGTTTTATATTTTTACTTTTCAAAGATTTCTGGACATTTTGGAAATGTTCCCTTTCCTTGGAACTAGTGGGGCGCATGGCATCGTGCCTTAAGGCAAATTGCTGGAACTTTCCGTACCAAAAATTAATTTTTTTAAAAAAATTAACATTTTTGAAAAAAAAAATAACTCTGAAAAAATTAGATTTTTGAGAAACTATAAATTTTTGACAAAAATTTACTTTTTTTTGAAAAAAAAACTTTTTGGAAAAAAATTTGTTTTGAAATATTTTGGAAATTCTGAACTTTTTTTCAAAGCAATCGTACTGCTTTAACTGCATTGAGACGAAATATCAAAGCGCGTACGGAACCCATAGAAATGTAAACAAAATTTATACTTATTGTTAAAATCTCTATAAAATATCTGATAATTTGATGTGCATATGTCTAATGATCATTCTTGACCGCCAAATGGCATTTTTTTTTACTTTTTTTACTATATCTCCGAAACCGCTAGACCTGCCTTCATAAAAATTGGATCAGTTCTTCATCTTGTTAATACAAGTAAAATGTTTTTTGAATTATTAAAATCGGCCGCTCCGTTGTCTTAAAAACTGAGTTACCATTTTTGGCACTTTTTGCCCCATATCTTTGGAACGGCTAGATCTGCTTTCGCCAAAAACTAATCAGCACGTCTCCTACTCAATACGAATCGAATGTTTTTTGAATTATTCAAATCGCTTCATCCGTGTTCCCGAAATCGTCGACGAAAATTTGTATCCGCACACACACACATACACGCACATACACACACATGTACACACACATATACATCCATTTTTTCTAAGGTATGCCAAAATTTTCAGAAGGTTTTGAAACGTAAAGATATATAAAAATTTTCATTTTTGATTTTTTTGCGATTACTATAACTTGCCCTACGGGAAGTTAAAAAATGGAATTATGTGTGTGTGCGTGTATGTATGTATGTGCTTTAAGAGAAAGATCAAAATTTCCATAATATTTCAAGAAAAAAATTTAAATTCAATAAGGTCAATTTTTTTAAAGATTTTAAAATTTTCAAAAATCAATTTTTATTTCAAAGTTCTAAAAAAAGTTTGAATCTTTTTTAAAAATTATAATTTTTGTTATGGAAAGTTTTAGCAATTTGCCTTAAGGCACAATAGTTTTTTATTTTTTTAATTCTTTTTTCATTATAAAATTATTAAGTATTTTACCATTTTGCAAACCTGATTAAATGCGCCAATTTTCTGTTGAACTTGCCAAGACACGTTTTTTTAAAAGACGGTCTTTCAAAGTCGAACAATTTTGAAAATGTTTTTAAATTTTAATTCATAGTTCAACAAATTTGAGCAATTGTGACGTCATTTATGGTTGTGGTTCTAAAGATGCTATTTGAAGTTATATTTTCTCAGTTTAATAAAACAAAAGAAAAAGAAAAATAACCAAAATGACAGAAATATAATTACAGTTTGACCACAGCCTTAGGTTTAATTTAAGTGCATTAAGCACGTGGTTTTAAAACTTTATGAGATGATTTCATGTTTTTATTTTTTTATGATAGCTTCAACCAGCCCTGGCATTTTCTTTGGATTTCATTTTTACACTATATAAATTTGTGGAATAATGACACATGTAAGGCGCCGAAACGTACAAAATTAATAATTCAAATATTTATTGTTTTTTATTTCGTCAATTTGATTGAAAAAGACTCAAGAATATGATTCAACGGCAGACAAAAAAAGTATTTTTGCAAATTTTCGAACTTTAAAATGATTTGATAATTCAAATTATATTTAAACACATTTACTTTAGTAACTTGAAAAAAAAATGATTCTTATTTTTCTTTATCACATAACGTTTAGTTAGTTAGATTACAATAAATTTGTTTCTTTTTGATTTTGCCAAAAAAACATTTTATTTTTTAAAACTGTCAATAGTTTCTTTCTTGATTTATGACTAATGTATTATTTCTATTATAAATTGTGATATAAAGTATTTCTTAAACCTTGTCATATTTGAATGAACACGAATATCTGAATTGATTTTTTTCGATTTTCAGAAACTTTAACAAGTTATTTCACAGTGTTTTTTCTTGTCAAAATTACTCGAAAATCCTGAAATTTTAATAGTTTTAATATAAACTGAGATTTTTAATATAGCCTATATCCTAATTAAGATGCACACGGTGAGCCGTTAAAATTTAAAATCGGTTTAGTAGTTCAGGAGTCCATCGAGGACAAACATCGTGACACTATATATATAGTTAAATATATTCATAAATCAGAAGCTTTTCAAATACTATTACGAACAAAAATCTAAATGTTAGGGACCTACTGCTTTAGTTAAAGAAGTTTATCTTGATTTTTTTTCATTTATAATTTAAAATGTATGTTAAATCTAAATTTGGCATACCTGTTGCAAACTCTGCCATGTGTTCCTAAACTGCCAGTGATTTGATTCTTAACGCAATAATTCGGCGAATCTTCAATGTAGACCAGATCTCCTGGAGAAGGCATTTTGTAGCTGGTGTCTCTGATTTGGAGCTTTCCGCGTTTATTTATTCGGACTTTGGTTGCACCATCATATTTGTCTTTTAAATAATCACCTAGGAAAGAAAATCACAATTGAAAAAGACCAATGACGAAAAGCTATAATATCTTATTAATAGGCCTATTAGTAATAACTTAAGCGAAATTCTAATTGAATTCATGAATACGCAGTGGCGAGGGGAGATATCTAGAATTTTATATCTATAAGCTTCTATAAAGTATTATATACATTTTCACCATCTCATTTGACAAATAACACCTCAAATTTTACCATTACAATCATCGATGTTGACATTAACGACCATTAAATAACGCTGTATGGTGCGTGTGGTCCATTCCTCAGGGTGACCATTCATTCATTTATGTCTGATGATGACCGATACAATGTCTTCTTGTGTAGATTTTACAAGAGATTAGTAAGATAGAAAGGGAACCGTCCTTATCTGTACTTATCCGATGTTACGCCTTAAAATCGATGTTAATTTACGACCCATGATAAAAGAAACATCGAAGGAACGGGTTATTAAACGCATGTGCACATGTTGCTCGTAAGAGATGATTTGTCAACGAAATCGGGTGAGAAAAAAAAACTTCGAAATAATAATTTTTTTACAATTCATACACGGTATAGGTCCTAAAAGCGAGGATCATTACTTTAAACTTTAATCAATTTTTATAATTGAACCACTCTTTGTGAACGTGTAACAATGTTTTTGGATCACTATATAAGGTCTTTTTCATAATTTTTTTAACAATTAAATTCGAAGAAACGGCCTGGCTGATCTTTACCAAAAAACTCATTAGCAGGATTCTTAACTAAAATCTTTCAAAGAGTTTTTAAATTTTTAGTTCAAAATTTAGTTTAATCGGTTCAGAAGGTTTGGCGAAATTTGCACTTTTCTGCTAATTATAAAGAAACGGCTTGGCTAATGATTTTCATCGAATGGCTAATAAACTTATGTAATTGGTACACCCATTTTTGAAGAAGGTAAAATTTTCGTTCATACACATACTTTTCTAGTGTCAAACTATTCAGAATACTCTATTAAAGATAGTACATTTTTAGTCTCATGATCGTATATTAATCTATTGAAGTCTGTTTTAAATGATTAAATTAAAATGACTAATTCATAATTTGAATTTTTGTGGGATTGTTAATTCTAAATTCTCTAAAACAAAAAAAAATGACATTTTTTTTTCCAAAATCAATTGTTTTGTCAACACAAGCAAACAGATTTTTGAATCTATCAAATTGCATGCTTATTTCTCTCAAAAACTACAATTTTTTGTACATTTAGCTATGTATCTTCTAAATGGCTGGACCTGCCTGTGCCAAAAACTAATCACCACTTCTTCCAATCATTACAAATTTAATGTTTTTTTAGACCATTCAAATGGGATGCTCCGTTCTCTCAAAAACTCGATTTGTATTTTCTGCACTCTTTGCTCTTTATTTCCGTAACGGCTGAACTTGCCTTTGCCAAAAACTAATCAGCACATCCCTCTATCAATAGGAATCGAATGTTTTTTCTACCATTCAAATCCGTGCGCCCGAAAACATGAACGAAATAATGCGGACACACAAAACACACTCACACATACACATCCATTTTTTCTGAGATTTTGCCAAAATGTTCAAAAACCTTCAAAACGTGGAGAAATGCAAAAATTTTCATTTTTGATTTTCGGCCCATTACTATAAGTATCCTACGGGAAGTTAATAATATTAAATATTACCGCAAATCAATAAAATATGCTAAATACACTAAAAGCCGGAAATTTCAAAAACTTAAATACATTTAACTCTATATCAAAGTTTGCATTTGTTTCATCATATATATCTATATAATTAGAGATTATTTAATTTAAATAATAATAAAAATAAGATTGGGGACCTAGGAGCTTGTAATAATTTTTTCCCCAATTTTCTATTGAAAAATTGCCTGTGACTACTTACCCCTTTGCTATGCAATGTTTATAATTACTTTGAAATAATTTACACTTTTCATTGCACTTGTTTTATATCAAAGTATCGCCTTTGCTTCTCGACTTTGAAATAACATTTTCCAAATCAAGTCAACTTGATTTACTTTTTTAGTCAGTGCATTTTTACATCCAGAACAGATGACCAGAAAAATAAAAAATAACCATGTAATTTACTTTTTTTATTGATTTTAAATATATGTACTCGTGTCGTCGCATGATAATAAAAGTACTTTATGACCGGTCTTTTGCTTGTTGAGAGATTAATTTTAAAACTTCAACGAACTCGCCCATCGAAGAAAATACCAAATCCATGTAACAAAGTTGAAATACATTTTGTTTTTATATACAGGATACTTTGGTATCATTTATAAGCTTATACTGACGCAATATTTTTTTTTAATCGAGGCATGAATTGTGATAAGATTTTTTAAATATATATATATATATTTGTAAAGTTAGTAAATTTGCAAAAAATGAGAATAAATGCAGTCATACAATAATAATCATAATTTTTGCAAATATTTTAATGATGTAAGATTTTTACTAATGCTTCAAATTTGAATTTGAAACTTACCTTAATGTTTTTAAGTCATTATTATTCTATTGGATGCTAAAATACTTTTTTAAATATGATGTAGTACAATTGGCGCTAATGATATCATATAGCTATCATGATTTTATTTGATTTTTTTCTAAGAAGACTAATTACAGACCTATACTTTTGTTTAAATTTTCAATTTATTATATCTAATTTACTTACCAATGTCTCTAAAATTGGCAAGTTGTTGCCAGCAAGTGATGAGACTGCAGGAGCCACTAACTCCATGGCATTTGCAGGTGACTTTGGATTTTGCGACCACCGCCTGAAATTAGGAAGAAAATGTATTTATATTATATATAAATTTTCAGCACGAGTATACTGCAGAATTATTGCTAAACGGTATATCCAATTTCAATAAAACTCTTTCTGTCTTTGTCCAAGTGTCCAAGTGTCCTTTAAAGGACTTAGCTATTTATTTCTTTGTCCAGAATAATAACTAATTTGTCTTGATTCAAAATGAACAATTGTCCAATTTATGGAAAGTAATAAATGACAAAAATAGTGGCCATTCTGGATAAAAAAATATAGCAAAAACAACTTTTGAACATTTATGTACCTAATGCTGATATTTGTTAAACTCATACTTGCCAAATATGCGATGTAAGCATTATTAGTGCCAAAGGTCAAATAAAATATATCACAAAGTTTTGTGAATTGGTCTTGAAAATCATATACATTAATTTTTGATACATGATAATTCTAGTATTATTAACGTAAATGCTGATGCATATTAAATTCTGTGTGAGTAATGTTAGCATTTGGTTTTTAAAATTTGTTTTTTTTTTCAAGAAAATTATAGAATTATAGAATTATAGAATTATAGAATAAGTAGTTTTCAAGGTTTTTAAGGAAAGGCCAGTTTTCAATGTATTAATAACATGATAGTGATAGATGTAGCCAAATGCACCAGATTGATGAAAACACTCTTGCATATCGATAGCTGTTTTTCATTTCACTATTACAAAAAATATTTACACCTTTACTCGTATGTATAAATTAGATATAAACAACGGATAACTAATTGTTTTTAAAATTGTTTAATCCCAGTCAATCACAATTTTTTTGTTCTACTAAATTACATAAAAAACTATTTACAGTAAAATTAGTCAGTAAATAGTTTCAGACCAAAACTGCTTTCAGTAGCTAAAATGTTTTTGTTACATTTTTTTCGATTTATTCGAGGAAAATAGTTATTTTGAAAAATCTTTCGTTGAATCCGATTTTTGGGAATAATACTATTAGAAAACCGGTTTTCTAAAATGACTAAAATGAGTAATTTGTATAAACTCTAGTTAACACAATTATTGCCAAAAGCAATTAAGATTTGTAAAAAATTAAAATTGTTAGTATAATACATTTACCTGGACGAATGACAATTCTAGATAAAATTTCAATTCACTTACAATGTGTAATTGTTTATAAATATATGTTAAAACCTGCCTAAAGTCAATAAGTCAGCATTAATATTAATAGAAATGATTTTTTAGTCATATTTATAAAATCATATTACCCTTATACATTTTGAGTATTTATTTAAATCAATTCCCTTTATCCTGCAATTTTTTTTACCTCCAATGGAATCTCACCACGTACACTAAATAAAATTATTTTATCTTTTGGCCTTAATTGGCATAACTTTTCAAAGATATCATGTGACAGTTTCTCAAAGTGTTATTAATTAAATAGATATGGCTCAAATCTAATAGAGATGATGAGCCAGGTGTAGACAACATTTATAAAATACCATGAAACTGATTAAATATTAAACTGGTCCTTAAATATTTTTTTAAAATATTTGAACAATTTAACATTTACAAAATTTGGTACACATTATTAAAGACTGATAAATTTGAAAATAAGTAAAATATATAAAGTACAATTTTATATTGCCAGACAAAAATGATGCACCTGCACACTTTTGTACACTGCTTTTGCTTGCGGAACAGTAGCTATAACAATATTATGTAGGACAATTTACTACTTAAAAAATCGTTTGTGATCCTATTGAAAAACGCCTGTTATTTATTACTCCTGTTAAAATAAGATACTATAGCTGTCCCTACTATAAATAATATGTAGATATACTATATGTAATATCCTATAGAAGTATAGAATGTTATAAATATACTGATGTTATTAATTTTATATAATAACATATAATTAAAGAAAATCACAACTTTCTTTTACCATATGTGTAAATGTTCACAGCCCCTTCTGTCCTCTATTCTATATCCACCTTTAATAAATTCTTCTAGATATCTTAATATAAAAGCTTTTAAATTTACATTTACTTAAGGTGAGATAATTCGATCAGGTTACTACTTACAGGTTCTATTTTAAGTAAAACCGACGATAAGACTTTTTTTAATGTCCGCCGTAAATCAAAAACTATTTTTACGACGATAATTGGAATTGAATATTTATATATTGAGATATAAAGTGATCGAAAAGTTATAATTTTAGTTGTGGGATTAAAATTATTAATTGTAGTGTAGATTATTGAATTGAGTAATTGGATAGTAATGGGCTGAGTCGGTCATAAAATAGACCAACGTTATGACAAGACTATATAACGTTGTGTTTTTTATATAAAATGTTACTTAAAACTGTCAAAATGCTATGTGTTTGCTGTGCATTTGCAATGACTGTTACCATGTTCCAGGAATATTTATATAAGGCATGCGTTGCAATGGGTAAACCATCCACTTCATTTGTATTAGCTGCCTCTTTCCCTCATATACCACATACTTCTACATTCACAATCAGTTAGTCATTTTGTGTATTAAACAACCGATTCTCCCGCATAACAGAAAAATGTTATGGCAAGGCTATGTTATGAAGAACTTTCCATACAAAATATTGAAAAAGCAAAGCCAAAGTGGTTGATATGCAGTAAGGCGTATTTCTAAGGTTGTCAGATAGGAAACCTAACCTAGAAACCGCACAAATCTCAAATAAACGATCTTAGATAATAGTGTGTTTCTGAATCAGCTTCATAACTTACGGGTGACGTTGCAGTTTATGTGTAAAACGCCTGAGTGCACAGCAAATACATGACATTTTGACTGTATGATTCAGTAGCATAATGCATGCAAGTTGGAGCGTAACATGGCCTGCCATAACATTTTTCTGTTTTGCGGCAGAATCGGTCCCTAAATATTTTTCCAGAAATATTTCTCATGGCTAAACAATGTTTGCCGGACCAGCTAGTATATATATATATATAAATATATATATATATTTCTATCTCTATAACGGTGTCGTAACAGCCGACGCCTTCTTCTCAGTAGTTTCGATGCAATGTGAAAGCAATTTGAAACTTTTATTTTCCGTGTTCGCGCTTATCGAAAGGTGGAAATTAAATGCTCCCAGGCCAAAAGTGAAATGGACAATTTGTAGATAGTCGATAGTGCATCGGCTACTTCTACATAAATAAAATACTATTAGATTATCTATAATCTATCTAATACAAGCCGGATTATACTTGCTTCCTTTCACACCGATGACACCTTTAGTCGTAGAAAAATAGAAAAATACATGATTATAGCACTAGAAACTACTATAATATGATGAAACTTATACAAATGTATGAAATATTTTAAAATCAACAAGTATTTAATACCTTATCTAAAATCTATGAATATATTTTTTACTTGCTATTTTTAAACTTATGGGCTAATTGTGCCGCAAAATAGTCCAATATTATGACAAGGCTATTAGGTTCTTTCAATTCACATACAAAATGGTACTAAATACTGTCAGAATGTCATGTATTTGCTGTGCATTCATGCGTTTTACACATAAATTGCAACGTCACTCGTATGCTATAAAGCTGAGTCAAAAATACCCTGCTAACTAAGATCATTTTTTCGACATTTGTGCGGTTTCTAGGTTATGTTTTCTATCTGACAAGATAAGAAAAACTGCACACTAGCCACATGGCTTTTGGCAATATTTAATATGAAAAGTTCTTCATAACATAGCCTTGCAATAACATTGGACTGTTAAGCGTCAGAATCGGTCCATAAGTTTACTATCTAAGATGTCTGATTGTACAGAAACCAAATAGGATTTTTACAGTTTTTAGCAGCATTTTATATAAAAACTGCTACATAATATAGCATTGCCTGCTACATAATATAGCAAATTAACATTGTTCTATTTTATGGTAGAATCGTCATCTATGTATCAAATTTTATTAGTCGAAATGATTCTCAAGTTTAGTTGGACAAGTTTTATCCTAACGACAGAATCGCCTTCTTATAATTAGTATCAATCCTTTACTAACATTCCTTAAGTTTAGCTGGAGAAGTTTCTTCCTAATTTTCTGATTTCTTCCAAGTTATTTCTCCTAAGGTCGGTGGTTCTTGGTAAAAAGAAAATAAAAGAATAAAGGTGAATAAAATCCTTTCTTAATGTGTTAACGAAAGCTTACAAAATGAACAAAACATAAACGCCATGCAATATATAATAACAGTAGAAGAGTTGGTGGTAAAAAAGAAAAAATGTTTTCTCGATTAATGAAATCTTAATAAAAACTTAAAACAAAATTAATCTACTTTAAATCGGTTGATAATTATTATCAAAAATGTAGAAAAAATTGGTTTCAGCTGTATATGTGAAAGTTGAGAACAAAATTTGTACCTATTATTAAAATCTCTATAAAATATGTAATAGGTTAAGAGGTTGAGGCATATGTCTTTTCCAAACTTTATTTTTTTGATCTCTAAAATTATTTAGCAATTCTTTATTCCGTCAATACAAGTGAAATATTTTTTGAATCATTCAAATCGAACGCTCCGTTCTTTTAAAACCTGAATTGACAGTTTCTGCACATTTTGCTTTGTATCTCCGAAATGACAGGACCTGCCTTTGCCAGAAACTAATCAGCAAGTCTCCCCATCAATAGGAATCAAATATGTTTTGAATCATTCAGAACGTGTTCTATAAATCGTCGACGAACTGTAACTGCATACCACACATCCTTTTTTTCTAAGGTGTGCCAAAATGTTCAGAAACCTTCGAACTTAAAGATATGCAAAAAATTTAATTTTTTTTTTGCGATTACTATAACTTACCCTATGGAAAGTGTAAGAGAGATTTTGCTCTAAGAAACGTAGCAAAGTTGTTGGCATATGTGAACGTTCCAAAACATGAATAAAAATGCAGATTTAGTAACTTTTAGTTAAGTAGTAAAGTTTGAGACTTTGTAGTTTAAAGTTTTGACCACTTTAGATTTTTAATTAGACCCAACAAAGCCGA